GTGTCCACTCTAACCCGTTAACGTGGATGCCGAAATTAAAACCAAGACGATCTGCAGAAGCCATGTACATGCCATGCAACCAGTGCGTTCCTGGCCATAGTGGATGCATGAGTCCCTCCCTGTTAAACCGTTGGCCCTCCCCACATTTACAAAGACACAGGCACTGCCCACAGGTGAGATGGCACCTGTGATGCAGGAAACAGCGTTCAGGTGAAAAGCGACTTTCCAAAATTTCCTCCACTGAAGAAATCACGTTTTTCTTCTAAAAAGGCCTCCAACAAAGAAAGAGATAAGACCTGAGCACAGGGCACTACTGACTAAAATCCCAGTTGGCCAGTGGCCTATCAAAACATCCATAAAGTTTTTAAAGGTTTTACTGGTTCCATCAGTGTCTTTACCAGCTCCATTAGTGTCATTTGGGCGGCTGGTCCCAGCAGATAAGTCCAAGGCTGAATTTCTTTCTCAGTCCAACCATGGATCAGAACAAGTGCTGGTTATGGCCAAAGCAAGGTCAGAGGTGTGGCCAATGAAGCATTTGTTTTGGTCTGAGATGCTGGTGGTTTAGCGCTACATCTAGTAGCAGTGATGATTGTTTACAGAGTCTTTAATTTGAGATAATTGCCAAACTAGAACTGTCTCAAATTGGCAAGATATTTTCATTTAATCAAGGAACTGCCTGATCAGATATTTGGCACTTGACAGTTTTCAACAGAAACATATCAGTTGGTACCAATAAACGGTTGAAGCTTGTTACCCAGCCTTAAAGAGATGAGAGGAGAGGAGATTGAAATTAACAAGAAACGGTATAAGAAAAAGGGGAAGAGCTGAAAGGATGAGAACGTGTTCCCTCCCCCGGTGTCTGTTAGCTGTTTTTCTGCCCTGGAGCGAGAGAAAGGAAGAGGCAGAGACGAGGGGAAGGGTTAGAAGATAGAGGGAACGTGCTGAGATTCATCATCATCAGTACAAGAGAGACACATGTGGAAAAGATCATATGGAAAAGCCATTTCCTCCATGTGGAGGAGATTAGCAACTGTGCATGCTCCTCCAAACCTTACTCTCTCCATCATTTTTTTCTCTCCTCTCTCAGCAAGGGCTCATGGTGCCATGCACCTTGTCCTAGCACAAGTGTTGACAAAATGAATAAAGCCTTCTTCTCCATTGAGGTTTGCAGGGGCCCTCATCCTCACACCCCAATGCTCTCATAGAGAGAAACACACAAACCCGGGTACTGCAGGGGTGAAGACTGACAGCTTGACACATCCTGCTTTTTAAGTGCCAGGGATGCACCATATTTTTGACAGCGTGCGGCAGACAGCGAAAGGGTCGCTAATAGCCCAGGGACTGCTGGGGCTTCAATTTTGCCATCAAAGCTCGACCCAAAGCTCTGTCACATTGTGTGGTGCTCAACATGTCCTGCCTGGGTTTCAAGACTCTCCTATTTCCGCTGATGCCAACGACAATCCAGTCCACCTCTGTTACTTAACTGTGGCATGTGGTAGTGCAATGTGGTCTGTCAGTGTCTCAGACATCTTCTCACCAAGGCGCTGCAGTGACAAAACCTATAAATGTAGATTTCTGTGAACAGTGCAGAAGATGCAGGATTGCACAGGATGTGGCACATCTACACCTATGTGCTGTATGGAGTGAGGGCAGAGTAAGTCTTGTCAAATAGACGAATTAAGAGGCTTTTCTGCCCCCTGGTGACATGTGAAAAGGGGCATTTTCAGCACCAGGGACAGTTTCCCTCTGCTCCACTGCTGCTCTTCATCAAGAGCTCAAAATGTGTCAATAATTTATAAATTCACATAAAAATAAATCGACTGAATGGTGTTATGTAATTAATTCTGACGTTTTGAACGTATAATGTCGATGCGCAGTAGGCTAATTATCATGGCACAATGAAATCCTAATGCAAATTGACAACCCCCAATTAAGATTTCTCAAGTGTTTGTAGACGCCTTGTTGATGAAATTTCTCCACAACAATCAGAATTAGAATCAGAATCAGCTTCATGCAATGGAGAAATTACGCATGAGCTAAAGCCTATTTGCAGTATAGGGTAGTAGGGATCCAAAGGAATGCGTGCACCACACAGCGTATTCCTCTCCAGAGACAGAAAGATGAAATAACCAAACGACCAGAAGCTTGAAAATGATCACTTACCCCTCTCCAAGCTGAGATTTCTGCAAACTTCAAGTTCTGCCATTTAGGACTGGAGCTGTCTCACAAGGTCTCTCCATGCGCCTTTGACATCATTTTTATTTCCTGGTTGAAGCGGTTTGGAATGCCATCAAAACATGCCCGATTAGTCCATTTCTCCATGATGAATGGACGTTCACATGAAGCGCGCCATGATGCTCAAGTGTCACTTTTTGTGTTAAAAAAAAAACGAGTCCAGAGACAAACTGCTCCTCGGCACCTTCCTCCCTGTGCGGTCTGCAGAGTGGAGTCACAAAACCATCAAACCTCTCACATCCACAGCCTCTGCGCGCACATCCTCTGCACTCACCAGACGCAACACAGAGGCACAACGATAAGCCGATTTCTCACACGCTCGGTGGACCGAGGGAGAGTGGTTGTTAATAAGCAAGCGCTTAAGACTGGCGTGGAATGAGCGAGGGTGAACGATCGCTCACAGAGCAGTGACTTAACCAGCAGAGTTGGCCATTTGGACATTTCATCAGCTTCGGTGCAGCTGTTTGGCAACAGTTTGAATTCCCCACCAAACTGAACTCGTGTCGCATCCGCCTCCTCGTTTGTCTATGGACAGCTATTCCTCGGAGTACATTCTTAGGAGGGAAAAAAAGGCACCAATGCGCAGGGATGCCTGCTGTGACCCACTTTACGCTCTCAGTCTCTCTCAGTTTATGTATCAATTCTTCCTCAGAGACACAACAGGGAACGGGCTTCATGAAATGTGAGGGTTGCTCTGCGGCGCACATACAGGAGGTCCGAGTGCCAACAGAGAGAGAGCGAGTAACAGAGAGCGCAAGATCTGTGTAAATATGAATTAGCCTAATAGGTGTTTCTCAGCTTTTAAAAAGCGTGTTTTTGTGTGTGTTAAACAGGTTCGAGTGTATGATCCTCATTTCCCTAATGAAAGTTTGTTCAATCTGGAGCTCCGACATTAGTCTTGTTCACTGGTCCACATTACAGCCATTTAATTAAGGATTGCAGGAGACAGTTATAGAGTGACCGAGCAAGCAAGCGCGCAAACATGCGCGCGCGCGCGCACACACGCACGCACGCACACACACACACACACACACACACACGTGTACAGTTGCGTTCAAGCACTAAAAGCCGGAGGCAGAGGTTACCAAATCGATTAGTGCTGTCTGGAGGGACAAAAAGACATGTTTGTGCACCAGTGGTACCCTCAATGTGTGTGTGTGTGTGTGTGTGTGTGTGTGTGTGTGTGTGTGTGTGTGTTTCCAATGATTGCTCACAATTGATTTAAGTATAAATCTCTCTTCATCCACACCTGCCTGATCACAGACAGCCCCCTGCCCCAACCCATACACCCCACCCCAACCCAAATCTAAAACCGGTTCTCTCACTGATTTATGTGCCTTGACCAAACAAAAACCATCCGCCACTGTCATTCACAATAGACTGGAAACAACTGGGAGGATGGCAAAGAGTCAAAAAAGTCATGTGGAAAATAATCGAGGAAAGAAAAGACAGGCATATGTTTTCTAAATGGTTCTGTCTGACAAGAAAGGACAAACTGTCAGGGGCAGGAAGGAATAAACACAGACAGAGGTCAACAAGATGTGAAGTTTGGTGAAGATGTGACAGATAGTTTGGTTTCTCTTCCCTCTATCCCTCTGAAGAACTTAGAACTGCAGGCTACTAGATTAGTATCAGAATATGTTATCTTGGTAGAAATGGATCGGAAGAGATGGAAGGGTGGACTTCATGAAAATGTATTCTCATGATGTGCTCAGTAGGCTATTCGTTTTCTTTTTGACAGCTTTAATTGACTCTAGATTCTGGAAGAAAAGTCAACGTTGGCTCGAAAAATATATTCACAAAGGGAGAAAATGTGTGAAATTCTCATAAATGGAAATAAATATCCTTATTTCTAAGCACGGAAGAAGAGGAAACAGACACGTGTGTTTCCTCTCTGCATCAATCAAGTCAATCCATCATCCACAGAAGAGTGCTGAAGCAGTCAAGCCTGATTTCTGCTATGGTTCGCTGACAAGCAGAAAGTACACACACTCAGACAGTAATCTAGCACGCGGTTTTGTGGGGGTGGGATGTGGACTCCGACTGTAGTTAGTCAAGGTGAGGCATAAGGTGGTCTGTCTGCTGTAGGTGTGACAGCCACAGAGGCAGACGGATGCATCAGTGATTTGTCACGGATTTGTCTGGTGGATCAGTCAGTGTGCAGCCTCATCGCCTCAAAACTCATAAATCAAGATCAGAATGATGCTGGTGCAAATCTGGATTCAGCTTTGAGGAAGATGAAAAGGAAAACTGCACTATTTGCTGTGGTTTAAACAGTATCTGATATTATATACTGAAATAAACAGGTACGCAGATACATTATGTGACAGGGAACTCAAGTTGATATATACAGACAGGCAGAAGAAGAATACACACAGAAGAACATTAGGTGTGAGGAGTTTCTCTTTTTTCTTAAACTTTGATATATTTGGCTTTGCATGATAAGAAACATGTTGCAATAAAAATCAGGTGATGCAGCCTGCTAGTATGGAGCTGTTTTGCCACTCTGAATGGAGTCTTATGGACAGTTTTTGCTTTGGAGAGGGTTTGGTAATAAGGTTTCATTGATGTCACAAAACTGTATATTGGTTTTACTGTCTGCAATCAAAAGTGGAGACCTGTCTCCCTCTACTGTTCATTCCCATGACATACAGTTATCTGTATGAGACTGTATGTTATATTCCGTCCATTATATTATTCTGTTGTGTGTGTGTGTGTGTGTGTGTGTGTGTGTGTGTGTGTGTGTGTGTGTGTCTGATATTTACCATGAAAGACGCTGTTGTCTGTGAGGAAGTGCCGGCGGTACTGTGGCTCTCCTTTCCTGTTCACCACCCAGGAGCTCATGGTGAGAAGAGGAGGACAAATAACTGGACGGCCTGCGAAGGAGAGGAGAGCTGAAGAGAATAGCAGGAACTTGAATGAATCTAAAAAGGTAAGCTGTTGTCTTGTGCTATGAGCCAACACACAAATCTGAAGACAAACAGCACAACATGCAGTTTCACAGAAAACTGGTTTACAGGAGGAATGATACAGTAATAGTTTCCTTTACTATGAGGAGACAAGGATAAAAGTTGGAGATTCTGCAGAGGAAATATGTCAAGTTCATTTTAATAAACTGTGGATTTTCTGGCAGCATTTAATTAAATATGGAAGCACTAAATTGAAAAACTACGCCTGAACGTCTTTGCACCATTAGCTTTAATTATATTAAGAGGTGAAGAAAATATGGAGTCAAAATATAGCAAGTCTGGAGAGTTTACTATTAGGGACTGATGAACCATTATAATTACACACAACTTTATTATTCAATGTGCAAAGAAGTCAAATTGTGCAAGACACATTTTCAGAGTTACGTAAGCAAAAGTCTTAGGGGAAATACTTTGTTGAAAAAATGTATTGTTATGATAATCAAAATCAACATGTAATTGAATGAAATCAATGAAAGTGACATCTTTTAGCTATTTAGTCTCTACATTCTCTGATCCTAAACTGTCTTCCTGCCTGGTCTCATCCCTTTAGCCAGTTGTCAACCTTTTTGTTGTTTTATTTTTCAGCATGTGTTTCTCATTCATCTTCTTTCTGTTTCTCCTCACCATTATTCCCGGATTCCTAATTTTCCACTACTTCCTCCTGATCACTTTTCATTCCTACCTCTCCTACAGCTAGTTTCGCTACTTAGTGTTTCCCCACCTGTTGCTCATCTGTCTTCCTGTGATTTACTGCTTCCCACTACAAAGATACTCTCTCTGTCTCCGTCTCTCTCCCCCCACCCCTCTCTCTCTCACACACACACACACATGGTATAGTATGGATCTGGAAAGGCTCGGAGCCTCTGGGACAGTTATTGGCGCCTGGTGCCGGCTGACCTGAGGAGAGGTGCCTGTCTGGTCCAACATGTAGAGCTCATGGGTCAAGTATCTTTGAGGTGAAAGTACTTTCCTGTGACCCTGCCACCACCTCGCTTTAAAACACAGAAGCCTGTGATGTGTGGGGTGTTTCTGACAAACCATATGGGCAAAGATTGACTTGCTCTGTTAATGTGGCACTCATCTCATGATGAATCAGTATGTTCATAATACAGAACTGGATAACTGTAATGTAAATGTATCTTAGTACCAATTTGTAGTGTTTTATAGTGCAAAACATCTCTTCTTATGATTATGTAAGGACAATGTAAGGATAGCTCTTTTATCATTATCAATACTTTATCATTAATTAAATATTAAGCTGTACTCTGATCTCTTTAAGTTGGTGCTTTACAATAAAACATTTGTGGTATGGAAGGGTTGAAAACTGTAATGCCATATGGACAGTCAGTCCTCTGAGGCTTCTCTTCATAGCCATTAAACTCTGTTTCACCTTATGCCTGCAAGGCCTCTCAGCTGCTCTGAACTAACTGTAGAGCATGGCCCCTTGTGGCTTACTGCTTAATTATAGAATAATGTTTCTAAATTACTGTTTGATTTCATAACAGAGTCCAAATTAGAGATAGGAGCTGAGCAGAAGTAGATGACTGGGGACATTGTTTGAGCAGCTCCAACATGTCACATTGTGATACAACTAAATTATATGAATCTACCATAAACACTGAATGTGCAAGTCAGCAAATTTTATAAATGCTGCGCAGAGAGAGGCGGCAAAGTAATGTGATCATCGTGGAGCGACTGTGATGCTGGTGCATTTGAATGGATGCATTCGTTCTACACTCCTCATAGATGTCCATGCTGTGCTAATGCAGAAGACTCCTGTTCTTGTCTAACTGAATTACTAATGGTATGTGGTACTCATTGATTGTGTGGGTGATATTATGTATTTAGTATTTAGTCCAAAAACAACATTAAAGAAAAACAGATGTTTTTGAAAGACAAAATTGAGGAAAAATAATGACTTAAGACAAATGCCCACTCCTTTAAGTTAAAAAAGAAAGTATTATTTTCAGTGACAACTTAACAATTAGGTAATTAATTATTTAAATCGACAACTTTTAGATGTAGTCATATTTTAACCTCCTGGTTAAACTCTGATTGTTGCACAATTTCCTTGTACAATGAGGGATTGTTACCAATGTTTTGAGTGTTCTCACTTTCGGTTCTACCACGAAATGAAGTGCTTTAGATAATATGCTAACCATCCTGTTTACTACCTTTCTGATAAGATGACTGCTTCTGTTTCTTGCTCCAAGTTTTGGGTTTTTAAGTATCCTGTGGTAGTTAAATGATAAAGATCAATGATATGCAGATGCTTACCGATCCATTTTGGTTTTTGATCGTGGGCCAGGAATAAAAACCACAGTAAATGTCTGTTTCTAGAAATAATAAGAAGTGTTAAAGCCACGTTATGTTCATTGTTACTGATGACCCACAGCATAATAATCTGAAAAACCAAATATCCCAGACAAAATTTTAAAGCTGGCATCGTTACAAAATCATGGCCAAAATTATAAACATAACACCCAGGTTATAATAAGCTAGCATCACCCTTTAAGGGGCTGCTCAGTTTGCATGCCACACGCAGTGGCATGAATCACCTCTCATATATGAGTGAATCTAACAAAGGCCTTCTCATGACATGCAGACACAAAGAGCAGCATCTGTCATTCCATACTGACACATGCCAAAGAGCACTCTACTTGGACATGAATAATGAGATATACAATGGCTGCTCTATTTTATTTGATGTGACCAGCTGTCATAAATGCTGGGTGATTATCAGCCATGTTTAGAATTAAAACGGTAGTTACCATGACTAGAGATGAACAGACACTTAATATCTTGGTTTGTATTTGTGTGTATAGCTGTGTGTGTATACATGCAAGTCTAAATTCATATGTGTTGTGGGTTTTATTTCCATGACATCACACGGCACAGCAATAGCCGCCTACTTCCCTTAAACCTGTTAACATAAATTGTCTCAGTAAAGACAAGGAGAAGCACAGGCTCATACACAACACAGTTATGTTATCCCCCTTAACTACAAATCAATTGGGAAGGCTTGGGATCCAAATGGCACACAGCCTGTAAACCACCTTGCTGTTCTACAGAGTCAATGAGTAGCTTGTAATTGCCTGTTAAGCAGTTATCAGAGCAGAGAGTAAACAGTCTCGGTATGCTGTTGGCTAGACAGATGGTTTCATACTAAACGCTTGATGCTCCCTGACTCACTGATATATAAATGTATGGGCTATATAGGCAAGATGGAAAATAAGAGGCATTTAAATTCATGTCCATTAAATTACATGTAAGAATATTGTCGTTTTGAAATATGTAGTCGCAAATTTGGGAATGGTTAAAGTTTAAAATAAAGTTTCGGTTCCATGTGTTTGTGTTCTGGGTGTGTGTTTGTTTGCACATTAAGGTTTAGGGGTGGTCAGACCGCTTTCACATCAAAGACTCACAGAGGGCATGTAAAATATTTGTAGTGTTTGCTGCATCACTACAGTTTGTATTCCATCTTACAATTAATGAAACTGAATGATCTGCTTGTTGTCTATTTATTGTTTCTTTACTTTTGTGAAGATCCTATTCTTTATACTTCAAAGGTCATGTTTTAGCCTCATCATGAATAAGTGCTATAAGGATTTCATTTCTGATTGATTGTTTTCTTAATTTGTTTTCTTGATTTTCAATTAATAAGCAAAGTATTATATATGACCAAGAATAGCTGCAAATGCTCACATTTGAGAAGATGGAACCAGCGATTTTTTAAAACAATTTTACTCTTTAAACAATTAAGCAACTGTCAAAATCTCAAATTGTAACTTTAAATTGTCCAGCCAGTGCTCCTTCAGTGAGCCTTGGACCTGATAAGGAGACAGCGAACCTTGAGGCAGCGAGGTTACTGAGGGGTCAGTGTTGGGTTACAGAGGGGCAGGATGGGCAGTGAGACTATCTGAGCATGTCAACAGGAACATCATGGAGTCATAAAAACAAAAACAGTGCAAACAGAAGAATCTCTTCTGCAAAACTGCTATGTATCATGTCAATTTGTAAGGCTTTGTAAGGAAGCGCGAAAAGTGTCAAAACATTTTCTAGTACATCTTAAAATGATTCTCGTACTTCAGTGTTACATGCTGTATAACAATGGTTGCACATTTGTCCATTTTTCTGTCTCCAGGGGCAGTATATCAAGTATACAGCATATTTTTTGAAAACTTTAAGAGCTCAGTCTTATTTTAACCGTCATGTGTGCATGTGTCAGTGGAAGCACGTGTGTGTGGTGGAGTCGCCTTGCTTTACCATGGAGCTGAGGGGTGGGTATAAGGCCATAAGTCAAACCGTCACATCTATTTCAAGCAAAGACACCCGTAACTCTCCCTCCTGCTCCTGCTTTACTTTTACTCTGAGGTTTTTAGGATCAAACTGTCTGCATGTTCTGCTTAACGTCCTCATTGACAAGAGAGACTTGTTCATTTTCTGCAAGTTGTATGGAGCGAGTGATGAACACGGCAGTCCAATACACAGTTTCCCATTTCAGTGTAAATGGATATGAGTGCAAGTGCTTGATTGGCCTCTGACATTAGCGAAGTGACAGCTTGTTCATTTTGTAAAATAATTGGAACAACAACTAAATGTTGTGTCAGAAAGTTCCTCTCTGCTGTGATATTTCTGTCTTTCACCTGCACGATCAAGCTCACATACATTCGCGGTTTGGCTCATTCAATCCCAAACTGTTCAGCCTCTGTCCTCCTGTCTTCCTTTCCACCAAGAAACTTCTATTATTCATGAGGGATCACAGCACCCACAAAGAGTCATGTTTCCGCTCCTACAAACCTACACCAGCAAGCTGATACACTGTTCACAATACTTCAAGTCACATAATAACAAGGGAGTCACTTTACGGCTGATGCATTCCTTCACACACACACACACATACACACACACACACACACACACACACACACACACACACACACACACACACACACACACTCTGCAGTGCATGTGGGTGTGTGATGGAATAGCTGCTTACCAGTGAATGTTTATTGTGACGGGGTGAAATAAATTGCTGCCTTTTTTTTTTTTTTTAAAGAAAAACTCAATTAACAAGAGCAAACTACAAATTAAAAGTGGCTGAGTTTTGACTTGAGGCCCATACACCTGTATCACTTTACAAGTACAGCTTTACCAACCCTGCCTGACAAAGACGCTCCTTGTATTAGATGTTGACAACACTCTGTGAGGTTTATCATGCAGGAGCAGGGATGGAGAATTACCTTGGTGTTTTGGGGGGTGCCTTTGAGTGAGTGTCACACCAGCTCTCTGTCTCTTTAAATCTCTTTGTCTTTCACACCCGGCCAACTACCACGACCCACTCAAATCAAATCAAAAAATCCCCAAGGACTCTGCTCTCAGATGGGGGAGTGCCCCATCTCTTTCTCTCTGGGATGGCTACCGGCTGAGTGTAATAAAGGCCTTTGTTATGCTGCCCTGCTGCAAATCTCTGTTGCAAAAGCACAATGGTAAGGAGTGAAACGCATGCAGCAGAGAAGTGTTTTTCTCAATCACACAGATGAATCATTGGTTCTAGTACCAAACAAGCCAAAAGTACATGACAAAAATATATAACTGACCACATCAGCGCAGGCGATTTGTGCTTGTCAAAATGATCCAAGAATGAGAAAATGATTGCCTGTGGCTTACCTGGAGTGGTACAATGAAGATAAGGACTGACATGTGTTGTGTATTTATTTTCCAGAGCCTGTGTGTCCAGGCACACAAGTTTAAGAGTGGCACATCTGCTTGGATACTGTATACAGTATCCTACCAACAGTAAATTTAAAGTGACAGCAAACTGTGTGCAGATTGTCATAGTCAGAAAAGTGCACAGATACATTCCAAGAAACACTGAGTAATTAAAATGTGCCTTCATAGATAAAGCGCATGTTTCTTCAAATTAATACTGATTAACTACTGTCGGTTATTCATGTATCTGTTGAAGCATCATAAGCTTACTTACGTCTGTGCCTTCAGTTTCTGATTCTGAAACCACGTTGTCAGCTCCCCCACGAGATCTTCCCACTTTCAGCAGAACAGCAGTCCTTCCATGCAATGAACTTCCATGGCATGAGGCACAAATAGGCTGTAATATAAATCAGTGATAGTCCCAGTGGTTTGGTGTCAGAGAGCAAAGGTCCAAGCAACTTCACTGGTGTGGGCAAGTACCCACCACCACATCAAGCACAGTGCCTTTTCAAATGACTACTACTAGTGTGGGACCAGCGAATTTGAGAAAGCCTGGAGTGGATTTCGGAGTGGACTACTTTTGGAGAGAGGGTTTTCAGTCCTTTCATTTAGATTAGGAACAAAAAAGAGAAATCAGACTAATTAAAATACATCAGAATCAAAGAACACTGACATAAGCTGATATCCTTACTACCCCTTTTTACCAGTGGGACAATACCTTATTTTTCTTCATTTATTTAGATGAGATGTTAATTATACTATATTTGACATAGTAATTATTTTTGTTTTCATCTTTAAATCATCAATCAATCACATTTTGCCTAGTGGCATTTAAAAGATGATGAAGAAACAAGCTGTCCTAATTCCTCACTTGAAGTTCCAACAAATTGTTGAAATGATCTTCTTGCTCCTTTCAATCATTAAATTGCTACTTAAAAATTAAATCTGGTCAATTGGTGAGTAATGTAATTTATACAGTATGGCAAGTGACTATGCCCTACGTTGATGCCTGATGTGTTTCCAGTCAAAAACTGATTACAAATGGCAAATTCCTACCTGCACAACCACTAAATAATCATCAGTAAGATGCAGTTACACTAGAAATTATACAGACAGCTAAATATTTAAACTTCCTCATTGGACAACGCAATTTCCCTGTGAAACTTTACTCTGCCTTCCCCCTGTTGTCTGTCTCAGCCGTGGTTTCCCTCCCACTCCTCCCTCAGTGACAGTTCAAAGTCTGGCTGCAACAACCATCAGCCTGAAATGCACCTTACAATTTAAACCAGCCCACCAATCACGAGCCGCTTCAGCCGTAACAGTCGCTAGTAACATTTGCACAACAAAAGAGAGACAGGCTGATTCATCAAACCCCCCCCTTCCCTTCACTCCCTTTCCCTTCCACTGTGACTCCTCCTCTCCTGCTTTTGTGCTCAGACCCAAAATCCCCTTCTACCCCTGTGACCCCCCTCCCCTCTGCACTAATCTCCTTGTGCCCATTGCATTCACTGCTTCAGTACTAGCTCTCCCTGCACTGAGACCCCCTCACCCTGCACCCCACTGGACACACATCACGGTCTGGCGTCATTTGCAGGCCCTCCTCCTTTGCCTTGCTTATTTGAAGCATGAATAAAAAAAACGCTGCACACGGAAGCACAAGGTGTAATTTTGGCTGTGAACTTGTACCGCAAACAAATTATACAATCACATGAGCTTAATCCTGGACACATAGGAAATTTGCTTTGGGGCCTATTCTTCTGCAGGTGTTGATGTATGCTCAATGAACAAAATCAACAGATAAAAATCATTATTTGTTCCACTGTTGTGTGGTATTCATTCGTTTCTACAATAACACCTTATAGCACTATAAGGTGTTATTGTGTTATTATGAAATCAAAGGCAAGTTACAGGTTTAGTCACCTTTGCTTTTCGTTTCAGTGCTTGAATACTCTAATGTCATGGTCACATTACAGCTAAAAGGGTCCTCTTTATAGGTACTTAAAGACCCACATACACACACACACACGCGCACACATACACACACACACACGCGCACACATACACACACACACACGCGCACACATACACACACACACACGCGCACACATACACACACACACGCACACACATACACACACACTACATGGCTCCCATGGGGTTTGGGGAGGCCAGTATAGAGTTTACCCCTTTGGATCGCTTTGGTGTTTCTATAGCAACAGTGATTTCAGAGAGTGGACAAGTGGACCTCCCTCTCCATTTTGAACTCCATTAACATACCCCGCCCCATCTTGTGTTTAGTAGGGTGTCTCACATACACACATACACACTCACACACATATACACACACCAACAGAGGAGGCTGTGCTTAGTTGTGGGTTAATGGGGTAATTGAAAGCTGAGGGATTATTATCAGGGTTTGAGACAGGGTTTCAAATAACACATTTTTTATAAAACTTCGAAAGACTGGAAAACACAGTCAAATGATACAGGTGTCCTAAGGAATGTAAAGTAACATTAGGCAAATTAAAATGTTTTCATTGCCTGAAAAGCCTATCAGTCCCAGCAGACAGTTGAGTGAAGGATGGGACAGTTTTTCAGCCTACAAAAAGCTTTCTAACTTCCTGTTTTACACCAGACATGTGTACAGTACAGGGACTCCATTCAATAAAATAAATATACTTCCATAAATTATGAGGACTGATGTCATTTTTTGATTGACAACAAACTTTTTCTGTATTCTGCCTTGAATCAATCAGTCACGTCCTTTTAAAGATCCTCCTCATAAGTCTGCATAAAGCACTGTCTCTGATGGCCTTGGAGGCTCTTTCCCATAGGCTGTCCTCCTTCCACAGACCCCTCCCCTTCCTCTCAGCTTTGACCTCTGCCCTGTGCAGCCGTTTGTGGAGACGCCAGTAGAAGCGAGAGTCCGGCAGGACCGCGACGGGCGCAGTGCGAGCCAGACCGAGCATGAGGACCTCTTCGTTCATATAGTAGCTCCACAGCAACCCCTGCTGGACAGGAGATGAAAGACAAGGAAAAGATTTTTATATAAGTGAAAATAAATTCAAATCAGTCTTAACATTAAGATTTCAATTATTTTACTTTTTTTTAGATGCGGACTAAGTGACTGATAATTTTCCTCCTTTGTCTTGGTTACTGGATGCCTCACCCTGCTTTGAGACACCAAACAGTGTAGTATGTCATCATCACGTGTGACCAGCTTCAGCCACACTGTTTGGGCAGGAGCCAGGTTCTTCTGCAGCCATACCCTCCCCTCTGGTGTAAGCTCCACTCCTGCAAGATGCACCAGCAATGGAGAAGTGGACACATCTGAAGAGGACATAAAAGGGACATTTACCATGTGTTACAGGAAAGCAGAAGTTTCAACTTCACTTCTATGGCCAGGGCTTATGCACACTCTGTACAATATTAATGCTAATTATGATTAGGGCTGGATATTGTTTTGGTTTTTTCACACGGGTGCAAATGTAATACCTGAGTTTCAGTAGCAATATAAATATACTACATTTTTTGTTACCTTACTTTGAGAAATATAAACTTTTTTCATTTAACAAAAAAGCCAAACTTTTCAAATGTTAAATGATGTTTAACATGTTTTAAATGACTGAAATGATGAACATCATTTCAGTCTATTTTGCAGGCTTGCCCCTGTTTACCATTCATCCCTGCATTTTATTTTGAATATTAGGAAAAGTCAAAGCATCCTTCATGAACTTCATGCTTCACCCAGTGGAATGCTGTCTCTTAATTCTAACAGCCACCAGGCCAGATCATAGATGGATAATGTTCAGTGTACTTAGAGCCGACTCAGAACTTGGTAAAAATGCATTTTCTGGGTATTATCTTTTTATTTCACATGATAAACTTCATCTGAAAACGCTGCTGTCGTATCAGGCATTCAAAGATCAGCATCTAGCCAAGATTATCTATGAAAAATCTGCAAATTGTCTTTGTATAACAGCCACAGTCCCAAACAATGGGACTAACCAGCTTTGAAAGGTGGAAGGTGAGGTGGGACAAAGGCAATATTTGAAATTGCTAGATGACACCCTGGTCTGATCATGTGAGTCCTTTACACTGAAGTTGCTGATGGAGCACTCTATATAAAGCATAAGCCTCCTAGTTATATTGCTCAGTGAGTACTATGATTTAATATAACAGCTAACAAGCTTACCTGCCACTCTTGCTCATGACAAGATGATAAAATGCATCTGAGTCTGACTTTACAAAGTAAAAATGTCACAATGAACACACCAACATTTTTGGTGTAACAAGATAAGAAGTTGCCCCTGTAGTAAACTATTAAGCTGTCAAACTGATGAGGGAAGCAGAAGGTGGGAGTTGACACATACATTTTCATTTTTCAGATTTCTACTGAGCCGTTCTTGTGAAGGACAGACTCCACTGCTCCATAAATCACAGGTTCTGAAGTATATGTTTACATGCCTTCATGATTTCACAAAAAGGATACCCCACTTTACCCTTGTGCTTTGACAGTAATGGCGAGAGGACTGGCAGATAAATCGGTACGTGCTCCACTTCAAGTCCTTTCTCTGTGATCCCAAGAACTTTCCCACGAAGGCTGACGTTCCTCTCAATGAAGCGAGCGGGGATCTCAGACGCAGTTTGAAATTTGGTGATCTGAGGAGAATGAGACAACTCGAGTATCAACGTGCAATGACTTATGTGGGTAAAATATCTAAAAATGCAATTCATTAGCATCTTACAAGTGTGATATTAGAAAACACAGTGAGATTAGGAATGAACTGGGTCAGTGGAAGGAGACTTTGGGTTTTACTCAAGCTGTTAGTTTGCAAAGATCTGTACAGTTTCCACTTCATTGAGGAATAATAGTGTCTAAATTTACAGCCTTAAATAAAGAAGGGAAACTATTAATTTATTTATGGAATGGGCAACAGCAGGTGCCACAAATCCAAAATATACATGTGGTGGATTTAGCTGAGATTATAATTTAATCAAATAGTGCGTGCCTTTCTCTCTTACCAGTTTGATACTCCTTGCTATTAGGACAACACCAGCGATCGCCAGGCCAGTGCTGATGTTCTGAGTGAGAGACAAGAGAGCAGTGAAGGTGAAAGAGCTGACAGGATGACAGTGATATCATCGACTTAGCTGAACATGTGCTGGACACTGACAATGAGAAAGACTTAGAGGGTATCAAAATCCACTGGGGTCAACTGGTGATGCTTGACAGGATTTCTGCTAAGTGTGGTGAATTGTTAGACATGAGTGCTTCTTAAGGAGTCCAGATTTATGATTTACCCTCTTTTACCAGTAAATAGGCCACCAGACAACTGAAAGATAAAATGTAGATGCAGGTGGCTCAGGTACAGTCTGTCCACAAAGTGACCATATTGCACATTCATGCTAATGCATCACCAGTCGATTGCAGCCCATTGCCTGCACAGACGGGAGGCTCCTACCCGCACAAGTGTTAAATTGTCATCTGCAAACTGTGATATTACAGACACGACGTTCTGAGACGACTGGTTTCCTTGCTCTCTTTGTTGTCTCTCCCTCTCTCCTGCTTCAGTTTCTGTTTCTCTGGAAGTCTCCGGCATGTTGTTGACATTTTCTCGATACATCTGACGCCCCGCCTTTTAGGGAGGGACGTACAAGAGGATTGCTTGTGTAGAGTCTCCGCCCTGTGGCTTGGTATTGATATGACAGGATGGCGTTGAAGTGCGCCCGAATTGCATTAGGTTGATCTACATACAGTATATATGTTGTAAACATCTCCAAAATTGCAGTTATGTCATTAGTGTAAAAGTTATTAACTCCCAAAAGCTCATTTTAGAACTGTAAAATAGTGGAGGACAAAAGTTGGTCATGCACATTGCAGCTGAGATTCACATTAGCCTAATAAATACCACTGGGAACAGTGACGTACCCATCTTTGTCTGCACAACTTGACCTAGATAACTTCATATCTGCAGTATAATTCAATGCACAAAGCAAAAGGCTCAGTCAGACAATAGAAGTGCCCCCTTATTGATATTCATATTTCTTATAATCTATTTTAATGCAATAAGACATGTTTTGCTCCAATAAATCCACAATATTTCCCACTTTCTTGGACCGGTCACATGCAGCAGATGTTGCACAGTGAAACATGTTTAGTAACAGACATCAGTGAGGAGTGACCACTGACTGTATATGACAGATGCACCGGAGCTTTCATCTTGTAAACTGTGAAGTCATGGAGCTACTTGAAGCCGGATGACGCCCCATTACCACAAATTGGCCAATAGGAGGTGAGAGGCAGAGTTGTCCTCCTGGCCGCCATTAAAGAATTCAATCCATGAACTGAAATAATGGATATCTGCAGGACCCATGGATCAGGCAGAGGAGAGTAGCCGATGAGTAGCCTCACTAACTTGGCATTTCTTCTGTTTTAAGAGTAGTTTTACTATGACGGAGCACTGTGGTGGTTTTAGTGAAAAGGAGGGCGGTGTAGCTAATTGTTTTATGTAGCTAACAAGCTAGCGTTGGAGCTCTGGTATGTTAGCTTGTGTGCTAGCAGGCTAGGAGAGATCAGGGGGAGGGGAGAGTTCCTTTGCTTTGAAATTGTTTCAGATCAGCTAGCTGGCATTAGCATTAGCACACCAGGGACTAAGCTTTTGGGGTGAAGTTTTTAGTTTTCAAGCTCGTATTTCTATTGCGCATATAACTTTTCTAGTGTTGGATTTAACGTTAGTCTGTCCAGGTCATGTAAGCGTTGGCTGCTTGATGTTAAGGTAATGTAGCAGCAAGCTTGCGGCTAACCAGATCAGACAATACATTTCAAATAGGATTGATGAATCCAGTAGCTAGAAGCTTACAGTTGACGCTATCAGGCTGCCTGTCTAACGTTAGCTTAGCCACCAGGCTAGTGGTGGCTAGCGCCGGTTAGAAGTTGTCTGTTTGAGTAGCGGTAGCTAGGTGTAGCTAGCAAGTTGGTCAGCGCTTTAACGGGATAACTACAACTGAACATCGCTTCGCCGGCGAGGTAACTAAATCGGCTATTGCCCTCCGATGGTGATTGAGACAATGGACTTCAACGTTACAGCCACGCAGTGAAAGGATGAGTTCGTGCTTTGTACCAAACGGGGCCAGTTTGGAGGACTGCCACTCCAACCTCTTCTGCCTGGTGAGACTCTCTGCTCTCTGCGCTAGCTAGCGTTAGCTCTCACACTGAGAGGCCAGAAAGCCATTTTGGCTAATCAGGCAACAAGCTTTGTAACGTCAGTTGCAGATTGGCGTGAAGGCATCGGGCCTGCAACTTGCATGATCGTGATCTAGCTAACTTTAATAACAGACAGCACATAATGCAGAGTAGTTACGTTGAAGAGTTGCACATGAATATGTCATGATAGAGTGCTTACAGAGCATTGGTTACAAAAATATTCAACTAGCATTAACGTTAGTTACAAGATGGTAACAGGTCAGGCCAACAGTCGAATTATTTAAAACCTGTTAACACATCTTATCTTTCCTTAATTTAAATGACACTGCAATATTAAAAGATTCACATAGTGGAACTTAAGTCACACGGTTGCTGTTTTAAGTTAGACTAACTAGTCTGATTTTTAGACTGACTTGCAGTGGTTAGTCATTAGTTCTTAATAACTGCGGAGTAAATTACTACACATCAGTTTTGTTTTCAAGTATGATTGTGGTGTCACACGTACAAGGCCACATATTGCAAAACTTTCAAAGATGTCAGCAAGCCTCAGTTTTCAACTTTTTTCATTGGAAGTGTATTTATGTATGACAGGAAAAGCAGTCATCATATGTTCAGTTGCTGTGGGTCTAAGAAAAGAAACACATTCATTGAGTTATGCAGTCAACAACAGATGATTGGCTTAATGCTGCATGTTCATTCTCACATTGTTTTTCTCCTTCTCTTTAGGCTGATTTGACTGGAATAAAATGGAGGCGTTTTGTGTGGCAAGGACCCACCTCTTCGCCCATCCTTTTCCCTGTGACTGAGGAGGACCCTATCTTATGTAGTTTCAGCCGATGTCTGGCGGCAGATGTGCTGAGTGTGTGGAGAAGGCACCACACCCCAGGTCGCAGAGAGCTCTGGCTTTTCTGGTGGGGGGATGACCCCAGTTTTGCAGAGCTTATCCATAATGAACTCTCAAGTAGGTGGTTGCGACATCTCCATGTTTTGTGCACACTCAAAATGATGATTTGTGATTCTCACAATATCAGAGTTGATTAAAAGTAAATATATTATTCACTCACCAGGGTGAATAGCAACAATATTTGTACATCTACCCTAAATTATAAATAAATGTATTCTCAGATAATCTAAGTAGTTAGTCCGATGCACACCTATTCTAGATGTTAAAAAACAAAAATTCAAGAGTGTAATGTTGATGGTATGAACAGATACTATTTTCAGCTGCTGTGCTGACAGAGAATTGCAGGCAAAATTGGTCCATTTGTGCAAACTTTGTTCATGTTTAAACATGTTTGGTGTTTGAGGACGATGCCAGCCGTTCTAAGCTGCGGCAAAGAATTGTAATGCAGTTTTAATGATACAAAGTCTGATAATAAGTTATGATAGCCAGACTGATTTGTGGCTAACAGGTCTTTTTAAAGTCTCTAAAGCCATGTGGAATCTATTGGCTGTCAGCCACGGAGGCACAGGCGTGTATGGTAGCACTAAAACAAGCTATTGTGCATCAGAGTCACCTGACACAGTCTTGATTTTTGGATGACTGTTTCGTTCCACCTTGTTAATATTCATGTCTATGGGGGGAAAAAAATTTGCCTCAGGGGCTGCCACACTGACCAGGTATTCTGTCTCCTGTCTCAAGGAGGGTCAAGTGTTACTTTAAGACAACACACAGAGACAGAGAGCAACATTTTCATAAATCTCACTTACACTGCAGAGAGAGCTGGAAGGTTTAATTTGGAGTTTAAAACTTAAATTTAATCTTTATGAAGCTTGACTCTTGAGAAAACATTGTTCATCAGGCTTTACCCGTAGAACAAATTCAGAACTTTTCACTATAATGTTTCACTTTGTATGAATTTCTGTCACTTAAGTCTACAATGTTGCCACCTAAAGGGCTGAATTTTTTTATTTTGTTATTTTTTCCATAATAACCTATAAGGTGAATGTTGAAATCAAATGTTTTTCTATCTATTAAAATGGGTCATTACTGCTGCAGTTGTTTACAAACAAAAAATGTCTCCTTGTATGTGCCAAACCCATCTAGCGCACCAGTTTACAGTAGACACAAGGCAGATTTATTTATCAGGAAGAAGGCTTGCTTGTTAAAAGTAAACCGTTTTAATGTCTCTGCCTTGTTTCAGGTGAGGAGGATGGTGAGTGGGAGAGTGGCCTGTCCTACGAGTGTCGAACGCTCCTGTTCAAAGCCATCCACAACCTTTTGGAGCGCTGTCTCATGAACCGTGGCTTTGTTCGCATCGGCAAGTGGTTTGTTAAGCCGTACCAGAAGGAGGAGAAGACCATTAATAAAAGGTATGTCCCCACTTCCTAATAGCAGAAGGAAAAGTTATATGACCTGCCATAAATTCTTGAATTAAAGCCGGCACTCAACTAATGGTCAGGTCGCAAGTTGTAGCTGGGGCACGTTTTGTTCAGCGAGATTTACCTGTACCTCTACCTATTATGTTGATGCAACAAAATAGTCATGTAATACTCAACTATCTGTTGCTCAGATTTTCCCTTTCTTGCGGAATTACTCTTCTCACTCACTAATTTAAATCTCGACTGATTCTTCATTTGTCAGTGTTAAGATGCCGTTAGTGAATCTTAACACTGTCTGCAGATTTTTTGCAATAAAAAGCAAGAGGCTCTGCTGCCTAGATAGCATGAAAGGTTTTAATGTGAACATGCTGGCTTGCTGACATTATTTTAAGGCACACAGAAATCAGATCCAATCACAGAATCTATTCAAAAGCCAGAAAAGAGCACTGATCAGCTAAATAAGTGAGAGCAGTGTTACGGTGCTATCAACTTATGTAGGAACAGTGAGGGTCCCTTGCAACATACATGTACTTCAGGGCACTTTCTTTGTAACACAAAAGAAGCTGCACAGTTGCAGATGATAAATATGGCAGTAGAACAAGATGTCACGTATTGTACTTGTTGTGATGAAGGGCTGAACATTAATCAGTATTTGATATGGGAGTGTTGGTCAAGATTTGCTGCATGTTGGGGTCAGCTGTTGCAGCTGGATTTATTGTGACATTGGCTGGGAGCTGTGTTTGAAGCATGCGTGGAGCATTTTATGCTGACCCATCATACAGACCTTAATAAAGATATGTTAAGGACAGAGGCGGATGTGTGTAATACTACAGTGGGGAAAGCCTCATCAGATGTCCTCATTGTTATGAGAGTTGTGCTTTAAAGTTCCCATATCAGTTCCTGGCTTGTGACGGCCTTTAATCATTAAAATTCCCTTTTGGGATTCAACTGGAGAAGTGGAGCTGGATTGTTTCAACTATGTTGTTAAAAGCTGATTCTGGGAATAAGACATGAGCTTCTTATAAGAAAAATAGTGTGAACAAATACACACATGGCTTTCACTAGACTGTTGACTGCAATATAGCATCTGCCGCCCTGATT